TACCTTAAGTTTGTTGAGCCCATTTTTTATTTTAAAATTCTGTTACTTTACCAAGGATTAAAGATAAAATTTCAGTGAAGTCTCTCACAATTATATCCTTTGAAATTATTTCACAGCATATATCTGAAGAGCAGAGTTGGCAGAATTAGAGCTTCAAGATAATATTTATTTTTAGGAAATTGTTTTCAGCAAAGGATGTGTAATTCCTGTCATTTGATTAAAATAAACTCTTAAGCATAACTGATAAAATGGTATTTTTAGAATCTTTGTCAATTGTTATAGTTGGGTCAAACTAATAATATTTTCTTTGCTGATTCACCTTGTTTTGTACATGTTGGCTTGTTCATTTATTTTTTTCTTGAAAATTCTTCTGTGACAGTGCAAACAACTATAAAACAATGGCATAGAGACAGGAAAGTAAGTTGAGGGGAAACAGTTGAGTCTTAGGAAAATGTGCTGCTGGCCGAGTCCAGAATGGAGACCCTGTTCTGGAGCTGTCAGTATCCTGTGACTGGATGGCCATGCTGCATTGGAGTCCTGCTTTTAACCTGCAGCTAGAACCAAGATGAGCTCACATCTGTCCAGTGGTGCTTGTGTTTTGATCTGTGACATAGACTTCATAGTGCCAGAATGGACTTGTGCACTCAAATGGTTTGGCCATTGTCTTTCACTCATGAGAATGTGAGAGTAGTGCCACTGAGTTAAGGACTTCTGCTTTCATCAGTCATCATAAGGTCACAAGAACATTGAGGGGAAATTCAGACAGCCTCTTCCTCATGACTTTCTACCTAACTTGTTTGGAATTTTTTACTACAGCAGCATGTAGCTGACTTTGGCCTCACTTGGCCACTTGGCCACTGATGGGCATTCTCAAGCCACCATTGTGTTTGATTTCTGGCCCAGTCATAGTCTTGGAAATGTTGTCCCCTTCCACTGACTTGAGCTCAGAAAGGTCTTGGCCAGCAGGCAGCCTTGTAACCAGGCAACCCAGACTTGCCAGGTTTGCTCTGTCAGCACTTGCTTGCTGCTGCTCCCCTCAGGTGTTAAAGCAGAAGACAATAGTGCTGTGAAGGCCTGGGGAGGGGGGAGAGAGAGGAGGAGGGGTCAGTGAGAGGAAAAAAAGGGATATCAGTAATACTTTCAACAATACAGTTAATTTTTTTTAAAAAAAGACACCTTTATGACACCTGAAGAATCTCTCGGGCTTTGAAAATTGGGTGAGAAGAAGAGGTAGACGTGGGAGACATTTTATGACTATGTGATTTAGAAATCTCTTTTAATTCCATAGTATCTGATAATTTTACAGCTAGGCAGAGGATACCCACAATTGTGTGGATGGCTAAACAGGTGAGATTAGAAGGAATAATGAACTGAGTTTAATGGTTAAAGTCGCTATTTATTGTTTTTGTCTTTTCAGTCATCACTGTGACTTTTTATTTAAAGTGTAACAACTTTGAGAATTAGTATACCATGGGATTACAACCACTCCTTCAAGTAAAATTTCATGAACAACAGGAATTTTTTTTAAATGCTAGAGTTTCTACTATGTTATGTTTTAAATTTGTACTCTTAAATTACCTTTTAGTTTCATTTATAATTATGCTAAAATGAGAAGTTTCCTCTTGTAATATTTTTAAGTATTAGGAAAATCTTCATATTCAGTTGCCTCTGAAGACCAATCTTTCATTTAATATATGTATCTTAAGTACATAAGGCAAACATTTATCAAACTTTTGTTCATTTATTTCCTCCTATACAACTTTGTCTTGTTGACTCCACTAACTCCAGCATTTTCAATGGTCCCCCACTAATTTTTTAGCCAAAAGAGGAATTATATGTGTACTATTGCTTCTATTTATCGTTCAACATTCACCATCGGCATTTGTGCCTCCCTGAAGCATTTTCTTTTATCATTGTTATTCATTTATGAAGAGTTACTTTTTTATTGTTTTCTAGATCATTTCGGGTCAGTTTCTTTCTGATAAGAAAGTCGGGACATATGTGGAAGTGGATATGTTTGGTTTGCCTGTGGACACGAGGAGGAAAGCATTTAAGACCAAGACATCCCAAGGAAATGCTGTAAATCCCGTCTGGGAGGAAGAACCCATTGTGTTCAAAAAGGTTGGTCTTGTGTCCTCGGCATGATATGGAATTGCACATTCTAGGTGTTTTACACTGAGAAAAAAATGAAAAAGAAGAATATTTTTGTGGCTAATTGGGGAACTTACACAGAAATAAAGCAATGGCATTTTGAAAGCTATCTTGAAAACTAGTCAAGATCTCTGTGAATCACTTGTTCAGAGTTTCAGAACTGTATTGTAAATCAGTTAATTCTAGTATACCTCATGTGGAAGGCCAGAATAACATATACATCTAATTCATATTCTCTCATAATACAGTGGTAAGTGATATATTTTCATTATGACTCAAATGAAGTAGAGGGGGGAAATAAGGAATAGTATGATAGTTGAGAGAAAGTCAGATCATATTTCTTTATAAAAGAATATTAATTAAATTCCCTAGACTCTCTAGCCACCGCAGCTGGTCATTCAATCTTGTCAGGGTTCTGTCTGATAGAATTAAAACCTTTTACATTCACCTGGACCTTCTCTCTGCCTTTACCAAAAAAGCAAATCATCTTCATACATGTTTATCACACAAATGAAGACAGTAAGTTCAATAGAAAGTAGCATAGGCTTTCTTACCATACCCTTTGCTTTTATCTGGCCAAAATATCCACACAGGAAGTCTTCTGCAAAGAGAATGTCTATATTAAAGGACTCCGTGCCCCATCATTTCTTATATTAATTAGGTCTATTAATAGTCTCTACTTCATAGAGTTGGTATAAATATCCCCTACCATGCTGAAAGCATTTAGAAAAATTTGGCACATTGAAAATAGTCAATAGATGTTAGTTTGCTCTTGCTGGCAAAAATACATTTTTTTAAGGATGCCATTGGTCTAATGCTCTTGACATGGGATATAACTGTGCACTCTGCATGTATTACATTGAGGGTGAAAATGAGCAATGTTTCTGGTGCCTCATTTGGGAATTTACAAATTTATAAAGCAATCTCATTTTGAAAACTATTCTGAAAGCTATTTTTTTGTTTTGTTTTGAAAATATACAAGTGGTTTGCTTTGAAAATATAGTAGTAAATGCTCAAATAATGATAAGACCACTAACTCTTTGGATTTAAACATATAACTTTTGTCATTTTCACGCTGAGAATGTTCATGTTAAAAGCAGATGTCCTGTGTGTTGAACAAATTCCTAGTTAGGACACAGTGATAAAACATAAAGTGGTATCTCTGGTAACCCTTCTCCTTTTGAAAATCTAAGTTGTAGAGCAACAATTTAACTTTTTGTCAACTTGCTAAGTAGAAGCTTCTAGTTGGATCTGGAAAAGCAGGACCCATATGAATAATATCTCTCTAATTCTTTTCTGTTTTCTGGAGTTGCTCCTTCTTGTAACCACATGTGTCCTTAATGTCTCTGAAGGTGGTTCTTCCTTCACTCGCCTGTCTGAGGATAGCAGCTTATGAAGAAGGAGGAAAATTTATTGGTCATCGGATCTTGCCAGTACAAGCAATTCGGCCAGGTATGGATGGTGTGGTGAGAAGCTTTATACCAAAGTTGTAAAGAAAATCATCCCTGTCATACATGATTATTAAAGAATGATTTAGGAAGCTGTTTGCGGCTTTGGTGTTTTGTTCTACAAGGGCTCTAAGACTATTTCAATCTGGCAGCTTCATGTGTTTGTGGCATGCTATGATGTATGAATCAATTCTTGCCACAATAACTGTGCATAACAAACTACCTGAAAACTCAATGGCTTATAAATATTTATCTTCATACGCACCAGTCTGTGGGTTGGCAGGGTTTGCTGGGCTCAGTCGTATAGCTGTGCTCTGGGCTGTGGGCTGGGTTAGGCCTATTCCACATGTGCTCTTGCAGGGGCCCAGGCTGAAGGAGCAGCGTACACACAGTAGGACTTCTCAGGGTACCCACTGGAATGCATAAAGGCAAGCCGGACGATACAAGTGCATTGTAAGCCTCTGCTTGCACCACATCACTGAGGTCCCATTGTCCAAAGCAGAGCATATGATAAAACCCCAAGTGAAGGAATCATGGACAAAGGACAAATTTGGGGCAGTAATTTAATCTACGACAATGCCACTGAATTCTCTTCTTTGGGGGAAAAATGTGGTTGGAAAGAAAAAAATCAAAATCAACATTGTTTTTCCATCTGGTGAGAAAAATAATACTTTCTCACTTAAAGCTATGCAATTAAAGTGAGAAAAGTGACCTGTTTGTCATCCAAAGTCCCCTAAAATAAACACTTCTATCACATAGATGTTCCTGTGTGCTAACGAACATTGTGAAGAAAATATGTGATGAACAGTATTATTGTCGCCCTCCAGGCTATCACTACATCTGTCTGAGGAATGAGAGGAACCAGCCTCTGATGCTGCCAGCTGTCTTTGTCTACATAGAGGTGAAAGACTATGTTCCAGACACCTATGCAGGTAAACCGCCTAATCAAACGGCTCATCCATATTTATGTGGAATAAAAGATAGGAGGCCCTGGCCTCAGAGTCACCTCTATTTTATATTTATGTCTAGAAAGTAAATTGCTCAAGCCTTTATGAACAAGTGTTAATTTAATTTAGTTCAAGTTTCAATAAACTATTGAGCCTATTTATCCACTGGTAGTAGTACTCTCATGGGCCCAACACTTTCTAACCCATGCTGCCTGGTACTACAGCAGTCTGTACAGATCTGTGTAATTATTTTTGCCTTGCCAGTTTTAGAACCCCGATTCTTTTCATGCGTGGAACCCTAAGTTTAGAGACGTTAACTTATGATGATATCAACAAGGGATCATAAATTTATATACAGTGATAAGTGGCCTGGGTATAATATACTAAGGAGTAGTGAAGAATGCGGCATGCCCTAGCTGGTTTTTCTCAGTGGTTAGAGCATTGGCCCACAGACTGAAGAGTTGGGAGTTCCATTCCTGTCAAGGGCACGTACCTCCATTGCAGGCTGGATCCCCACCCTGGTCGGGGTGCATGCGGGAGGCAACCAATTGATGTGTCTCTCTCACATTGATGTTTCCCTCTCTCTGTCTCTCCCCCTCCCTTCCACTGTCTTTAAAATCAATGGGGGGAAAATATCATCAGTTGAGGATTAATAAAAAAATAAAAAGACGGTGGCAAACTTGAAGCATGTGCCCCACCCAAAGATGGCAGCCACATTCACTCCAGCTAGATCCACATTGGCAAATCTTTTGGTTGTTTCAACCATCTGGAAAACAGGCTTTTTATGTGAAATGTCTCCACTTATGAAACATCATTTGGGCCAAACTCAGGTCCCTGGAATGGATGGAATTGAAATTAAACTGAATAATATGGAGCATTGAGACATCCTGATTTGGAGCCTGTCATGTTTGGCTCTCAGAGCTGCCCTCCATTGAGGGCTCTCTTTCTGGAGTTTCAACAAAGGGTCTTAACTCTTATTCATTTTTAAAATGTTGGATGAATGAGTGGGTAGTTTTGCTGGTAGATGGAAGAATGGAAAATGAATGATGAATTGGTAGGTGGATGGGTGAGTAGATGGATAGATGGATGCATGGATGGATGGTGGATAATCAATACTTCCAAGATCTTTCATCTAAAACGTCTCTTCCCTATTTAGATGTGATTGAAGCTTTGTCAAATCCAATTCGATATGTGAATCTGATGGAGCAGAGATCTAAGCAACTGGCTGCTTTGACACTGGAAGATGAAGAAGCCATAAAGAAAGAGGTGAGAGGGAGTGCTAATCTTATGCATGACATTAAGGGTGATTTCCACACCTCATTGCTGGCTTTACCTATGTAACACCACACATCAGGAGAAGAAATCAACACATTGGGAAAACATCTTGATGGAGTTCATCATCATCTCACAAAACAACCAGATGATTAACTGAATTTTTCATATTTCATTCTCTTCTGGTACCCTGTGGCTACCACCAGTGTCTTATTTTGTGACCCATGAAACAGTACACATCTTGCTGCTTCATATGAAAATTTCTAGATGATTTCATGTTAATTAAAGATGATTAAGGCACTTATAAAAGAAGATGGTTATCAAGTCATTTAGTACTTTCTTTTGTCTTCAATTTAAAGTACAGGATTTTCAAAGTGCTTTTGTGATTTATTACAATACATAAGGTACTTAAAACAATACCTGGTGTGTAGTATGGGCCATAAGGTGTTTGCTATTATTATTACATTGTATATTTATGTGTTAAAATATGTATTCCTAAAACAGTTGGTATATTATTCTAAGTTACATATCACCATGTAAAGAATAATTAAGGAAGGGTTTAGAAATATTAGAAGTGAAGTTTAAAAATATCAAGCCTCTATGTAGACTGGAGATCCTTTGGTTTTTAAAAAAGTGAAATATTATTTAATGATTATTGGAGATAGCCTCAATATTAAAAATAGTGATAAAAATAGCTATTTTCATATTTTATTTGAATATTCAGATAATAAATTCAGGGGGAAAAGATAAGAAAAGTGGATAACTATGCGTGTGGGGGGAAACCTTGAAAACTGTTTAGATAACTGTAACTAATAGCAAATCCACTTAAGTTGATATTATCTATTAAGTAGCCCTTTTCTTATTCTAAAGGAAGCATAGGTTTATCATAGAAAAATTAAAAATAAAAAGGAGAAAAGAAAGTCTTAAAGATATCACCTATAATTCAAATGTCCAAGCCACCCAGCGGTAACACTAAATATGGGATCCCATACAGCTAGTTTTTATGTACAATTATACTTGTTCATAAAATGGGATAGTACTCACAATCCGTGTTTTATTTTCACTTAATGCAAATATTTCCATGTTATTAAATATTCTATGGTATGACTTTTAGTAACTTCGTGGTCTTCTATCATGTAATTATACCATGATTTATACTTCCATTCCCCTCTTATTGGGTATTTGGAATGCTTCTCTATTTTAAACAGATCTTCCATGACTATCATGTAAATTTTTAGCACATTTATGATTATTTCCTTGGTTTTGTATAGAATTTCAGAAATTTTAAATCTAAGATGTGGAGTTAACTGAACATGAGAAAAATGAAATGAAAGGAAAATATTTCACATATGAGTAAGATTTTCCAGTCTCTCGTTTACACTGCAGGACCAATAGATACATCATCCTCTGGGATGAAATTTCAGGTTAGACTGGGAAGTTTCATAAATAATGCTGTATGCAGTTTGCAATAAATGGGGTTGTAGGGAAACTTTATACTGTCAGGAAATTATGCCTAATGGCAGACATGAATATACTTCCAAGTTGCTTGTGCCTCTGACATCTAGGCTTACCATTTGCAGAGGGAAACCTAGAAACAAACAAACAAACAAACAAAAAACACCTGAGGCCCCTGCTTGAATTTTGAGGGCTTGGTGTAAGCAATCACTGCTATACAGGCCCATTGAAGAAGGTGTCTTTGCAAGCTCCAAGCAGATACTGTTGGTGGCCTGCCCACATCTCCTTTGCAGGGCTGCTGCAGCTGTGGGCGGCGAACCCGCACAGCTCCAGGCTTCTCCAGAGGACTGGCCTGGGCTGATGGGAGCCACCTTCTCTGGAGATGCCTGGAAAGCTATTCCTGGAATAGAGTGGTCCATGCCCAGAGACTGAAAGATCCTGGAGAATAACTCAGGTGCCTTGCTATTGAGTGGGCAACTTCTGTGTTGCAATTCACACTCCCAAACTGCCCCCCCTCCCCCCCACACACACACCTTTGTTAGATCAGGCTAAGGCTGAGACCACATTTTAACTTATCTTCTCTCCCTGTTTACCCTGCCTTCCTCACTTCCTGATAGTTTTCTCCAGAGCGCATACTCTCAACAAATCATTTACTGAAGATCCCCTGTGTGCAGTTCTGCTTATAGAGAACCCAGCGAGGCTAAATAGCTTCTGTTTACTATTAAATTATAAATTGAATGTTTTGCTTGGGAACTAGAATTTAAATGTTTGCCAATAGTTACATCTTTAATCTGGGTGTTTCTTCAGAGATAAGAGTGTGTTATTTTTCTTTCCAATGGCCTTTGAAAAGATTAAGTAAGACTACAGAATGTCTTGCTTTGCTCATCTATACACCAGTATGAAATTAGAATCTCTCCTTAGAAATCCACCAGAAGCTATGAAACTTTTCTCTCTTACCTTCTTGTGCTTACTACCATACTTAATAAAATTTAATTCAAGGCAAGTACAGTTAATATAGATATAAATTACTATTCATAGCATCCTTCTCTGATTAGAAAACAGGTGTCTCTATACTCAATTAGATATATTTTATTTTCTAAGAAATAGAAGTTGGAATGAAACATTTTCAAGTGAAATTACACGTTTTGTCACTATTTAGAAACAAGACTTTTTATATCATCAACTTCTACCTCTTTGTTAGCCAGGTTCTCCAAGGAGTAAGCTCTTCCTTGAGGAGAACTTTTCAAGACACCAGCCTCTTCGGCGTATGTAGTGCAGCATTTGGGGTAAAGGTCTCATAATGGGACATTTTGCTGATGGTGCCTCTGAGCAACCCTTTCTCTATTTTTCTTTCTTTCTTTTTATTTTTTATATATTTTTTAAATTTTATTTTATTGTTTAAAGTATTACAAATAGTAGTACATATGTCTCCTTTTTCCCCCATTGACCTCCCCTGGCCTCCCCTACCCCCCCCACACACACACACATGCCCTCACATACCCCCCCCCTCCCCGCAGTGTCTTGTGTCCATTGGTTATGCTTATATGCATACATACAAGTCCTTCTGTTGATCTCTTAACCCCCCTCTCCCTCAATTGCAAAGAAATGTCACTAAGGAATGGAGACCTGGGGCCCTTGAGGTTGCAGGGGTCCTTTCACGTTGCTGTCCTTTCAAAGCCTTATCTTTGCAAGACATTGCCTGCCAAAAAGCTATTTGGGGAAAATAAAACAGCCCTGGATATAAAAATGCACTAGAAGTTTAGGTCAACTTTATTTTTGTTTCTCCTCTAAAAAAAATGGTGGATCAGAAAGGATTTTCAATAAATGTATAATGTTGGTTAAACTTAGAGAAAACTTGGACCTTTTCAGTTTTAGAAATAATTTAAAGACATTGAATCAGATAGATTCCATATGGTTTAACAGAGAAAAAAATACAAATTTTTTCCTTTGGAATGTCTAAGCCTATAATTGCAGTCATTTTTGAAATTCAAGAAAAAAGTCATTTGCCCTTACCATGGAACAGTAGGAAAGAAAAGTCATTTCCCACCTCTGGGCACCAGTGTGCCCTTCATCTTGTCTTGCAGTAATGCACGGTCCTTTGAATGAGGCCACTGAACATAAGGAGCTGTGGTTTTCTCGGAAGAAAATTTTATCTAGGACATGGCAGGCACTGGAGACACTATTTTAGCAGCAACGACGTTTTTAGTAGAATCCTTTTAACTTGTACCTATAAAGGTCATATCTATTTGAAAATTAAAGACTTCATTGCACTGCAAAATATTCCCACATTTGTAGTAGTCTAATAAGTTATCTTCATAGAGTAATTTGCAAACCAAATAACTAGGAAAATTGAAAATTCTTCCATGCTTTGGACAATAGATATTTATTTCATATCATGTGAAAAAATATCTATAATAATAAAAGGGTAGTATGCTAATTAGACCAGATTTCTTCCGAACATCATTCCAGACATCCTTCCTGATGAAGCCGGGGCCAGAGGGAAGCCAGCCGGGTCCCAGGTGCCTGCAGGCAGCCAGAGGAGGGAAGCAGCCCAGGTCCCGGGTGCCGGAGGGAAGCCAGTGCCGGCAGCCAGGGGAAGGAAGGCCTAGTCTTGCATGAATTTTTGTGCATCGGGCCTCTAGTGTGTGTGTGTGTATATATATATATATTTAACATATGTATGTTGGAAGTTAAGGGATAATAGAGATTATAGTTGCTGGGTTTATTTTAAAGTTGTTATTCAGGGTAGTGGGTTAGTAAAGTTGTAGAAAGTTGCCTAATCTGAATAACAAAGGCTTTATAATATGTTTAGCTATTTCTCTAAATAAAAAGTCATTTAAAAATAATAAACAAAAGACACAGAAGGCCCAGTAATTTTGCAGATACTGTTAAAATTTTTGTTGTATATCCTGCTAGCATGCTTTCTAGGTACATTTGCTTTTTACCAAGAGATTTTTAATTTCTAAAAATGTTTCACAGCCCTAATACTTTAACATGGTTATAGAGATGCCTAATGAGACATCAGTAACACTTTTTAAATTTTATTTTTTAAATATGCCTGTAAAGAGACAAAAGTCACTATCTAGTGTATCTATTACAAAATATTATTTGGTAATAATTTCCAAATGCAATATTTGCTAAAACATGTCAAGATGTGGAGAATAAAAGTAAATATTTACTGAGTGCTTACTATGTTTCTGGTACTGTTCTAAGCCCTTTAATGTCACAACATATTTAAGTCTTTAAAAATCCATGTGTCTTAAGTACTACTATTCCCATTTAACAGATGGGAAAAGTGAGGCAGTGAGAGGTTAACTTCATCACCCAGTGCCGCACAGCTGGTAAAGAGCAGAGTCGGGATTGAAATCTAAGCAATCTGGCTCCAGAACTCATGTTCTACACCACCACTTCTCGAAGTTTAATGATAAAATGCTGATCCTGACTCAGTGGGTCTGGAGTGGGGCCTGGGGCTCAGAAACTAACAGGCCCAAGTGATGGGAGAATGCTGTTCCAGAGCACTCTGTACAGAGTAGCAAAGATCTGTACTGCACCGCATTGCACCATGCACCTCAGTAACAAAACCAGCTTTCTAGTCACCTTCAGTAAGGACTAGCCCTCCATTCACTTCCTGTCCCCTGCAGCAGGTTACCTGGATGACTGAGCACAGACTACAAGACCTTTACCTTTGATAGTAATATCTTTTGAACTGAACTTTTTGTTGAATCAAATGTCAAGATTTCCCCCTTTAAGTCACTGGATATTATAAAAACTGGTTTTTCAATAAGTTAGGTTTCTGTATACAGATTCTATTTGATCAGATTATACACTGGCTGTTGGCCAAAATACACATACCTATCTCCCAGCTCTAAACTTCCAAGTTACAGAGGCTACATTCAGTCACCAAGCATCCATTTCCACCCTTGGGGGAAGTTATGGTCTGAGACAGAGTACAGGCATTCCTCGGAGGTATGTTGATTTGGTTCCAGACCACCACAAAGTGAGTATCGCAGTAAAGCAGGTCATAATTTTTTTTGCTGGCAAAAGATCTTGCCTTCAGTTTGTAAAAAAACACATCTGTGAAACATAGTAAAGCGAAGGTAAAAATTGAGGTATGCCTGTACCTGACATCCCAACCTTACTCAGCCCTCAAGGCCAACGTTTCTGTTCTCGGGAGTTCTCTCTATTGTCTGTGTGTTTGATAGCAGTGCAGGTGTGTGAGTGATCTCCACATTTTTGTGCCGGAAAGGGAGAGTTGTTTGATAATACTAGCATTTCGTTTATTTTAAGAGGCCTAGTTTTTAAGTTGTCAGACTTAAAAAGTTGTTCTTATCAGTGAGCTTATAGTTTATTTCCTAATTCAGTGTATGGCACCTTGGGGATACCTACGAAGGAATTTGATTATTTGAAAAGAAAAGGTCCTATGGTCTGGTGTAAATTTCACCAGTAAAATAACCCAACAGCAAAAATCCAAGGTGATAACCTCATAAGGGCACAGCAATGAACTCAGGAAGGCCTTGTTGGCCATTTAATTTTTCCAGCAAATAAGCTGAGTCTCGTCCATGGTTCAAGAACTTGGTGATAAAATCAAAGATGAGGTTTATTGGTCATTTTTTTATTCTCCTTAAATGAAAATCTTCCTCCTCCAATAATAATGTAGCTGAATACTAATTTATAGAAACAATAGCTTCTCCCAGCCCCTGAACTTGAAAGCATCCAATAAAGTAGGAAGAGAGAGTTTGCCTTTTAGGAGCTGGCCTTTAGGTAACAACTCTGTCCCTTTCATTTCTGTGTGGCTTTGGAGATTACAAGGCATTTTCATTGGATGCCCTGGATAAATCTGGACCTCCATCAGGACAAATATACAGTCTCCATTTTTAAAATGTCAATGAACTCAAGAGTGGCTTCCGGTTCCTCTGTCTAAAACAGCGATGAATGCAGACACTTGAATGTTGTCATCCACGCTGTGCGCAATGACATAGAGATTATAAAAGTGTGACTCTCAAGGACAAAGTTTTCCACTCTGCTTTAGACCAGGGCTTCTCGAATTTTAAACTGGGGGTCTTGTTACATTGCAGATGCAGATATATTAGGTCTGGAGCAGGACACACAATTCTGCATTTCCAACAAGCTTCCAGGTGATGGCGATGCTGCTGTTCTGTGGAGCATATTTTGAGTAGCAAGGTTTTCAGACTTTATCATGTAGCAGAATCACCTGGATGACTTCTTAAAGCACAGATTGCTGGGCCCCACCTTCAGTTTCCTATTCAGTAGGTCTGGGGTAGACCCAAGAATTGCATCTCTAACAAGTATTTGCCAAATGATTTGGCTTACTTACTATGAAACATTCATTCTCACGAGATGAATGCAAAAGGCGGCGTTGGTCTCCGTTCTCTCTGAAGGAATCCATAACTTCTGCCTAACTGCCAATAGTTTATTTCTGCTGAATTCTTTGGAGACCATAACAGTATTTCTAATAAATTAAAGTTGGCTGGAACAGAAACATATATAAGACATATGAAATATTCAGCAGAGCTATGGCCTTTAATCTTTAATCTCCTCCTAAATAAACAACTGCAATTATGAGTAAAGCAGTATCTTTATTTTTCATTCATTGATTCATTTATTTAAAGACAATTTTTTTCTTATTTTAACATAACATTTATATGGTTTTTAGTTACAGGATTTTGTCATTAGCAATATATCTATTGATTATATGTGAGCAGGAAAATGTGGATTTATTAATTCACTTATTTATTCAATATAATTTTTTAATACAACTGAGTGTCAGTCACCATGCTGGGCCCTATGAACATATATTAGAAGAAAAATTGGATATTCTCATAGACCTGACAGTCTGGAGGGAGAGACTGACATTAATACAAATTCACACATATTTACATAAACTACAACTGTCACTAATGTTTCAACAAAGTGAGACCGTGTGAATGCTGATTATTTCTTTATATTGTGACATGGCTCATGCTGTGTAAAGAATCAGTTGGCTCCATGTTCCAATTGGCTCCAGTTACCGCTGGAGGAACATGCTGGGTACTAATTGCAATAAAAGCCAGAATCATTTTACTTGGTAAATCAAGAAGCTTCAAATGCTGAATTCAAGAGATGGATTTATTTATCTGCTTTAAGCTGTCTTTTGCTTCTAACTCCTCCTGATAGGCTTCAAAACATAAAAGATGTGCTATATTTTATTAGGAAAATGTTCAAACATACACAAACCTGGAAAGAATTGTATACTGAACATCAAATAGCAATTGCCTAGATTCTATACTTAAAAATTAAATGCATTTGTTTATCACATATATATTCATCTATCCATCCCTCTATCCACTCATTATTTCATGGGTTTTTGTTGTGTTGTTAATCCTTACCCAAGGATATTTTTTCCATTGATTTTTAGAGAGAGTGGAAGGGAGGGGGAGAGATAGAGAGCAAGAAACATCCATGTGAAAGAGATATATCGATTGGTTGCCTCTCACATGCGCCCTGACCTGGGCCAGGGATTGAGTCTGCAACCTAGGTATTGCCCTTGACCAAAATCAAACCCGAGACCCTTCAGTCCTCAGGCCCACACTCTAACCACTGGGCAAAACTGGCTAGGGCTATTTCATTTTATATTGATGCATTTCAAAGAAGGTTGCAAATACTGGCATATTTCATCCCTAAACACTTCAGAATGAATGTATCAGGATATAGTTTTTAGAAATGAACCAAATCTCTTAGAAATTTGGGGCAGATACATTATCTTATTTTATTCAGCTAATAGAAATTGAAGGTACAAATTATATATGTCTTTGAAGAAGCTCTTTCTTGAGGGAAAGACAAAGCCAAAAGACAAAGCCACACTCACTTCTCACACTTATTCCAATAGACTAGATTTCTGCATGATGAAACCCAGAAAAACTGGTGGCCTTGCCCCTTACCCATCTGATGTCCAAATAGAGATGCTGTTATCCTAACCACTACATGGAGGGACTACAGTTTTTAGATGACTTTGGCAAGGACAGCATGACCCAGCATCTCCAACAACCCAGTCACACATTTGGTATTTGCAAGACCCTTTACTTACCATACTAACCACTCAATTAAGTTCCGTACATTTTAGTGTTCTATAGTGCTGTAAAGTTTTGTTTTGATTTTATTGAATTTATTGGGGTAAAATTGGTTAACAAATTATGCAGGTTCTAGGTATACACTTCTACAATATATCATCTTTTATTGTATTGTGTGCTTATTTTTTTATTACTTGATCATCACATTCAATTTTCAAAGGGCAGGATTGTAGACTTATTCAATTAGCATATCAAATAGCATCTCTTCCTCTGTAAAACTTGTGAAAATGGCCTTTCCAGTTATCCTTTTATTATTACACTTACAACATATTTTAAAGTCACTTCTGTTCAATTTTTAAATAGGAATAATATAAATATTACTTTAAAATAAAATTTTGGTTTAAAAAAGTCTACTTGTGAAGAAAAATGTTGTAATACTTTCAGTTGGCCACTAGAGGGCAGGAGCCCACTTCTGCTGTAGTTAATTTTGCACATTTTTCTCTACTTGTCTAAGCCAAATTCAGTGCAACTGAAATACTAGCTTCTGAACTTTCTTTCCTAGAAATTTGTTTACTTGGATCCTAAGAGTCTCTCCATTAAATTGATAAAATTGACATTTCTAGTTCTTTGGTTTCTGTCATAATTTCCAGTGTGATGTGAAAGGATTCCATGCTTATTTTACTCAACTCATAAGAAAGAATATTTGGAAAAAAGGCTAGGGAGAAATAAAGTCACAAGAATTGACTTCCACTGATTCCTTGAAGTGAGACAAGGAATTTCTTTTTTTAATTTCAGCTCAAATACAATGCTATCAAATAGTTTAAGAAAGTAATAACAAAACAGTAAGAAATATGGGAAATGAAAGGATGTTTACCATTTTAGCCTGATCCTGGGGAAACATCGTCAGAAGCTCTGAGTGAAGCCGGGACGACTCCAGCAGAAAATGGAGTAAATCACACTACATCCCTGGCACCCAAACCTCCTTCCCAGGCCATCCACAGCCAACCTGCTCCAGGTAAAACCTCAGAAAAGAGAGCTGTAAAACTTGACAAAAAGCCTTTAGTTTGTTCGTGCCACAAAGGAGGTAGCATGATGCAGTTACCTACAGTATCATGTGAGCAAGGGCACATGGACTTAGAAGGATCCAGAAATGTGTGATAAAGGAATGAATGAATGAGTGAATGAATGAATAAATGAGTGAACAAATGAAGTAATGAATGAATGAATGAGTGAGTGAATGCCAAGAAAGACACCTAAGTGCTCATCTGGCTCTGCTGAGGACTTATGAAGCCACAACAAAATATCACCCAGGTTTCTGGTGTCTTTATTTAGTGGTGGATTATGTCTGCTGGCAGTCTAAAAATATTTAGACTCAAGGGCCAAAGGTTGTTTTACAGGAAGAATAAAATGCATAAAGTTAAAAGTGGTTGTTTTACAAACTTCTTGTAAGCAGCTATGCTTTAGAAGCTCATTCTTAGCTCTTCCTCACCAAGTCAAGGCTCCAACTTACTTTTCAATAAACTTGAGCGCTCCTCAGGTGCCCAGCACTCTGCTAAACCCTTCATGTGGATTATCTCATTGAACTCTTAGTCTCTGCCTAGCAGTGTAGATTCCATGATTGCCCCATTGTCCGGGTGACTAAACTGCAGTTCTGGGGTGACAAGGTGCTTCTCGAAGGTCATATAGCCAGGGAAGGGTGATGTCCAGAATGGCACAGTCCCCTATGATCCTAAAATACTTGCTTTCAACTTCTGTGCTCCTACCAAAGCTACACTCACGTCTCACTTCTCAGGAAAATCCTTTGATTTCTATGCAACTAACTTTGACATGTTGTCTGTGACTGCTTTAGGCAACTACAATGGTACACATGTCCTATTTCCCCAGGATATGGTAGGGTTCCCAGGTTAGGCTACAGTTTGATGTTTCCTTTGCAAAGAGCCTGGGAATAGCATGTACTTAATAACTTTTTGTTGAATTGGTCAATAAACTGAATAAAGGGAGAGGGATTTTCTTCCATGAAAGTGTGGCCTCATGTCTCCTCCCTTCCTCCTCATGCCAGTGCATGCCACCAATGCGCCCACACTCTTTATTTGGGAGGGGAGGAGTATTTCTCATGGGGGAGAATGAGGTTTTGAAAAGAACAAGTCATATTAGATGTGTATGAGATATGCCTTGGCCTATGCTTTCAAGAAGGTTGTTGAGATCAGTAACAGTGAGACGACTTGGTCAGGAACAAGAAGTGATATTTTCAAATGAAGATTTTTATATGGCAAATACAAACTTTTGAGTGCTTCTGGAATATAAATAAGTCATTTAAATATGTGAGTGATAATAACCTTGTGCTTTGCTTTTTTAAAATTTTGTTTTATTGCTTAAAGTATTACAAAGAGTATTACATATGTCTCCTTTTTTTCCTTTTCTCCCTTGACCTTCCCCTGGCCTCCCCTACTCCCCAGTTGCGCTTTGCTTTTGATAGTAGAAGAGCATTTAGACTTTTGGGAGGGTGATTTCATGTTTTGAAAAAATTTGACATACAGAATAATTTTTTTAAATGGAACAGACAGCATTACAAAAATGATTTGCACTTCTCTGATGTTAACATCTGTCAGAATCACAGTATGACTCCCAGGCCAGGAAATCAACCTTGGCTCAGCACCCTGAACTGAACGACAGACCTTGTTTGAACTTCACCCGCTTCCCACTAATGTCTTTATGTGACCATCCCAGGTTCCAACTCAGGATCCCACACTGTGTTTAATGGTCATGTCTCCTTATTTTCCTTTAACCTATGACGGTCCCTCAGTCTGTCCTGTCTTTCATGACCTTGACACTGTTGAAGAGTACTGGTCAGGTATTTTGCAGAATAGCCCTCCATTTGGACCAGCCTGATGTTTTCTCATGATTAGGTTGAAGTACTACATGTTCGGCAAGAACATCACAAGTGTGATGCCATGCCCTTCTCAGTGCAGCATGTCAGGGGAACCTGGTATTGATGTGGCTCCTCACTGGTGGTGTTGGAGCACTTGGTTAAGGTGATGACTACCAGGTTTCTCCACTGAAAGCTATGGTTTTCTCCTTCATAGTTAACAGCTATATTGGGGGAGATACTTTTAGATGATGCAGCTATCCTGTTTCTCCTTAAACACTTACCCAGTGATCTTGGCATCCACCAATAGAACTTGTCTGCAACAATGATTAGTGCCAACTTGGCAGCCTTTGATTTTTAAAAGACCCCTTGTCATTCTTGATTTTGCCAAAAGGTGGCAGTAGCATTGCCTAAATTGAATTTGTTGCTGGTTTTTATTTCAAGTGGAGGGATATACTTTTTCTCTATAAATGGAACATATAGATTCACATTTAATTATGTTTGCCTCAAAGGAACAAAAGGAGAACATTTCTTACAAGTTTTTGGAATAATTTTCTCCCCAAATTTGTAATTTCTCCACAAAGAGATTTCGACTCAAGGGCCAATCATTGTTTTACAAGAAGAATAAAATGTAAAAAGTTAAAAATGCCTATTTATTTTATCTTTTTATTTCAGGCCCTGGAAAGGCACCTGCCAAAACAGAAGATCTTATTCATAGTGTTTTAACAGGTAAATACCACCCTTTCCCCGGAGGAATTAGGCAGCTGAATATGATAGAGTATAAGTATTTAGAGCAGTGGTTCTCAACCTTCTGGCCCTTTAAATACAGTTCCTCATGTTGTGACCCAACCATAAAATTATTTTCGTTGCTACTTCATAACTGTAATGTTGCTACTGTTATGAATCGTAATATAAATATCTGATATGCAGGATGGTCTTAGGCGACCCCTGTGAAAGGTTGTTCGACCGCCAAAGGGGTCTCGACCCACAGGTTGAGAACCGCTGATTTAGAGGAAAGAAGGCTTCCCTCCATCTCTGAAGATTAACATTATTCATATTTCTTCTCTAAAAATACTTACAGATACACAGCCCTAGTTGAGGCCACACTACATGATGTGATCACAGAAAAGTGACCATCCTTGGGCGATAGGATCCTATTGATATAAAAATAATATAATTTCACAAGATATCCATTTTAGAATCTAAAAATTGTTTCATCCTGGAAATGTGGCCCAGCTAATAGGAAGGCATATCCTCCCAAAGTAACAACAGTAAACCATCGTTTAGAAATACAGAATATGATCCATTGGTGACCACAGAATACACAGTGTTGGAGGACTGTGATTCAGTTGGGAAATATTTTATATTTGGTTAATTTCATAAACTAGTGGGACTGGAATTGGTACAAGCTTTCTTTAATACAGTTAGCCATACTTAATAAAATCTGAAAAATGTTTGATACTCGGCCTAATATACAACAGAAATGCTCACCAAAAACAGCACTCTTGGGAAGAGCCCCAAACTGCGTATAGCCCAATGTCCGTAAACAGTCGGGTGGATCCACACATTGTGTTACAATCACAGACTAAACGGGGCTACAACTCTCGGAATAAATAAACCACAGTCACACACAACATGCATAAAATTCACAAGGACTGTGTTGAAGAAAAGAGGCCAGACATGAATGAGCACATTCTTTGTGATTCCATCTACATAAAGTTCAAAAACAAGCAAAACTAACTCATCTCATACTGTTGGAAACACGGATTGGATTATATTTGATGGGGAGCAGGAACCAAAAAGAGGGCCTCTGGCATCTGATGATATTCTTATGCTGTTCTGAGTAATGGTTGTTGAAGCATGCTCACTTTGTGAAAGTGTATAGGCCTTTATCTTTATGATTTATATATTTTTAGGCATATATTTATGTTTCACCAAAATAATACATAAAATATTCATAGAAAAAATTACTTCAAGAATTTTTTAAAAATATATATGTTTATTTACTTCAGAGAGGAAGGGAGAGGGAGAGGGAGATAGGAACATCGATAATGAGAGAGAATCATTGATCAGCTACCTCCTCCTCCACAACCCTAGTGGGGATGGAGCCCACAACCAGGGCATGTGCCCTGACTGGGAATGGAACCGAGACCTCCTGGTTCATAGGTTGATGCTGAACCACTGAGCCACGCTAGTCAGGCAACAATGTATTTTTAAAAACATGTTTTAAAGATTTAGTTCCCTGGGTAACAAGTTGACACATACAACAAGAGACAGAAGTGTAAATAGAGCATGATTCCAGTGTTATTTAAAAATAAATGCATAGAAGAAAGGCCAAGGGTCTGTACAATAAACTAAAAGTGATTATCTCTGGATGGCTTGTTTATGAGTGATATTTGACTCTTTATATAAATGAACATTATCTGTATGCTTAAGAGCATATTCAAATTATAACCTTTCATACACAGACTTTTTTTTAAGTATTTTCTCTGGAATTTTTTTAAACACAGGTTGGAACATCTTGAACCCTGTTGCTACTTGCCATAGCTGATGTGCTGCACACTGTTCTTAAAGAAATGGGATTGAATCTGTCACCAAAAATGCAGCAATTCCTTGGGATTATAAATTATTAATATAATAAGTTACTATGCAATCATAATGAGTCTATTTGGGCCTGAGGGAAACCATTAAATAAATGTACCTGATTTTCTCACTAGCCTCTTTATCCAAAGGAATCTAATGTCAGGAGACTAGACACATTATAAGAAAGGGAAGCATATTTCAATTGCTTAAAGACCTCAGCATATAGGAACATCAATTTGTATTCTGATTTCAACATTAATTCACTAGCTTATCTTCTACTCAGGTCTGTTGTTATTCGTGGCATAGGTATGCTATTTCTGAATCTTTTGACAGTTCTAAATATTTATGATAACTTTTTTTCCCCTCTCAGAAGCAGAAAGTTCAAATCAAAGAAAGCATGGAAACATGTGAACTATGACTTAATCTAGGTCCAAATAGATGGCAATTCATTGCAGTTAGGACATCGTCAACGTTAAGGCACCCACTATTCATGGATCGCTGAGATAAAAATTGCTGGCACACTGTTATACTCCGTTGACTATAAGATCCATCTTAATTTCAGAAATGTTAACATATTTTTAAATGCATTTTCTAGAGTTGACCAGATATGTCAATGAAATTCAGAATGTCTTAAGGTCAAGTTCTTTCACAGTAAATGAATTCCCAGCAGTGGATAAAATATGTAGCCATGTAATGGTGCCACTGGGAAAAGCACATTAATGGGCTTTCCTTCACTTTATTGCTTTATACCCGGAACACTGATAAATGTGCAAGCCTACCACGTCTATACTGTGAATAGTGCCTTTTACAGAGGGTGCTCTAGAACCTCAACAATCATTAGTTAAGCGTCTACAGGCACACTGCCAGAAACGGTGCTCAATGCTTGGCAGCAATTCTTCTATTTCACCAGCACAATAATCCTGAAAAGTAGGGAAGCCTTGTGATCCTTAAGGTGGATGCTATTGGTGTCCTGCACAGATCCCCTTTACCCGCCAGCGGACCCATCCTCAAGCTGCAGTGAGCGATGGCTGACAACAGCTCAGAGCTTTCCCTGCTCTTGAAAATTGCCCTCAGCCAAAAGGAAGCTTCCGCTCTAGTAGGCTCTGCCTCTCCCCACGGACTATCCCAAATATGCAAAATGCTGACCCCCTTGCCTCAAGGTGAGGCTGACTCCGTGGTACAATTCACACTCCAGAGCGCCCAGTTGGGTCAGGCAGGAGCCAGCCTCCATTGCCCACATCACCTTTAACTGCTTCCCCTTCCCTATCTGCTGCCCTCACTCCCCTCCTCCTGAGAGCCTGCCTCTGGGAATCACATGCACCGGCTTGCTCCTCTTAGGGTCTGTTTCTAGGGAGCCCAGACTTTAAAAAAATGTTAGAAGTGAATAAATTGAGTCTTTGAGAAATTTGGTAACATTGTCACAAAGTTAGCAAGTGATGGAGCCACCCTGAAACCCACTTAAGCTCGACATCAAAGCTCTGCTCTTAAGCTCCAGTTGGCTAGGATCAGACACACAAGTTGCTACTCCTCTCTACGTCTGTCTTTTCAGTCCTTCCATGTCTGTTAGCTTTTCTGATCTTTCGTTGCAGAAGTGGAAGCGCAGACTATTGAAGAGCTAAAGCAACAGAAGTCGTTTGTAAAACTTCAAAAGAAGCACTACAAAGAAATGAAAGAGCTGGTTAAGAGACACCACAAGAAAACCACGGACCTTATCAAGGAGCACACTACAAAGTATAATGAAATTCAGAATGACTACCTGAGAAGGAGAGCGGCTTTGGAAAAGACAGCCAGGAAGGATAGTAAGAAAAAGTAAGTTGAATGAGTATGATTTGTTTGATGGCATGAGGAAGAGAGACATTTACGTGGATTTTTTTCCTGTTTTGTACTGTATTTTGCACCTCGACCACTGCAAGATGGAAAGCCACCCATTCCTTCCATTATGTATCTTTTCTGTCACCTCAGCTCAGTTTTGCTTGTGGATTGAATTTCTTGATGTGACTAAATTCTGAGAATAGATATGCAGGGAGTCCTATCCATGAGTCCTAGCCTATGAGCCCAATATCAACTGGCTGACTTCCCATAATACAGCGGCCAACCTAGTGGGTATGAAATTTTTCCATGTACCTAGACCCTAGTTCAGTGATGGCGAACCTTTTGAGCTCGGCGTGTCAGCATTTTGAAAAACCCTAAGTTAACTCTGGTGCCGTGTCACATATAGAAATTTTTTGATATTTGCAACCATAGTAAAACAAAGATTTATATTTTTGATATTTATTTTATATATTTAAATGCCATTTAACAAAGAAAAATCAACCAAAAAAATGAGTTCTCGTGTCACCTCTGACACGCGTGTCATAGGTTCGCCATCACTGCCCTAGTTGAAGAGACAATTTGTCATACAGAAAGAAGTTTCACCTGTTCTTTGCTGCCCCATCGTTAACCCACAAAGCCCTGCACAGGTAACCCTAGTGTTTGGATCCAGGGGTCCCCATGGCTCCATGCACCCAGACTTGACGTGGAGAGGCATCTCTCACACATTTATTCAACCAGTGTTTATTGAGCACCAACTGTATGCCTGGAGGACACAGCAGTTAACATGACCTACATAATTCTCACGCACAGTAACTGATGTGGTCATGTGGGAACCATGTGAGCATGTAAGTTACCTGTCGGCGAGAGTTGGAGGGCTGTACTACATCCTCCCTTCCACTTCTTCACTGAGTAATCTTACCTTAACGCCAGGTTATAGAGAGAGGTAAGGTGCCTTTTTCAGATCCATATTGTGAAAACAAGATTTAACATGTGATTAACTTAAAAGCACAATCAAAACCCTGTACTAGGGTTTTAAAAAGCAGCAAAACCTTTATTTCTAAGAACTGGAGCTGCCTCACAAGCCATCTGGGTGAACTTTTGTCCCTTCTTCAAGGAAGAAGCTGAAAGCTAATGGCATTAACATTTACCTGTAGTTACATAAACAGTTCCAGTAAAGCTTGGCCTAAAACTTCTCCTAAATTCCTATTTTAGTGATATGTATGTAGTCATTTATTTATTCACATATTTATTTACTTATGTCTTATTCTGCAAACTTCCAATAGAGCGTTGACGTTATTTACAGAAGACGTGTGTAAAAATCTTACAAAAAGCAGAGAAAGAAAAACAACATACACACATACATACACACAGACTGAGTGGTTACCAGTTTTTTAGGCCTGCTGTCCAACACGCGAGTCATTAGCCACAAGTGGCTATTGAGCCCTTGGAAAGCGGCTCATAGAATTTGAAATGTGCTGTAAGTATAATATAAATACCAGATTTCAAAGACTTTATTTAAAAAGAAAAGAATATGAAATAACTCATTTTTATATGAACCTACCACATTGATTTTCTTTTAATTGCATGTTGAAGTGCTAATATTGGGGATGTATTAGGTTATATAAAATATATTATTAAAATTAATTTCACTCATTTCTTTTTACTCTTTAAGGTAGCTACTAAAATTTTTAGATCACATATGTAGGAAAAAATTAACTGTGGCTCATGTTGTATTTCTACTGGATAGCACCAACCATTTAATGCAATTTCAGTCCTTAAACACTGAATATAGCTCTTAGCTTCTGAGAAAAGGAAATATGGGTTAGACAAGTCTCCTCGTCTGATTAAAGGAAACTTGCTTGCTTTTCCAAGAGAGACAAACATTTTCCTGGTATTAAATTATAGAAGAATTCATCTCATGGATCTTAAACAGGCAACATTAGGCAACGGGGGATATTTTCAACTCTGCTTTTACAAAAGATGCAGAAACCTTGTTCCCTTGTTTATTTTCTAATACTTTCCCTCAACACACAGATGGAAGTCCCTAAGCATCTAGCATCAAAGGACACAGTCAGGAAAGCTCCTATAAAAGGCAAAGCCACTGAGGCCTGATCATGTCTGCCACCTCCCAGCCTCCTTCATACACCTCAAACTTCTGAAAATAACTCAGCAATGAATGGATGTAATGTTCGTTAGATTTTTTTTTATTCATATATCCATCATCTCAACTGAGCTTTCCACATAATGTGTCGAGCAGATCATATAAGGGTAGTTTCTGTCCAGATACTGGCATGCATGATTCTGTGCTGTAATTGTCTGTTTTTTATAAGCCTCACCTGAGGATATTATTTCTATTGATATTTAGAGAGTAGAAGGGAGAAAGAGAGAGAGAAAAAAAATTGATGTGAGAGAGAGACACTGATTGGTTTCCTCCCCAACTGGGGCCAGGGATCGAACCTGCAAATGAGGTACATGCTCTTGACCTGGAATCAAACCCATGACCCTTTGGTCTAAGGGCCAATGCTCTAACCACTGAGCAACCAACCAGGGTTCTTTGCTGTACTTAAGACCTTGCTTTCCCCCAGGTGTCTGTCCTCAGATGAGCAGCATTGCAGTATCCTCCCCTCGTGGTATCCTTAGGCACAGTGTCTCAGTGAACCTTGGCTTCCTCAGATGTTAACTGGAGATAGTCATTCTCGTTGCATTGTTGTGAAAGCCTTTTGTAGTGTAGAAAGTGCCTGGCACATATTGAGTGGTCACAAATGTCTTGTCCTCGGCACTTCAGCCTGTACTTGAGGTGGATTATCGAAATATTTATTTCCAAACACAGTGCTCTCTGTAGGAGGAACCCTGGTGAACCACCTACCCTCCATCGTACTGTGACCTGCATATTTTGTGAGTTAAGCTCTGTTTCTCCGCAGATCGGAACCCAGCAGCCCTGACCACGGCTCATCAACCATTGAGCAAGATCTGGCTGCCCTGGATGCCGAAATGACCCAGAAGTTAATAGACTTGAAGGACAAGCAACAACAGCAACTGCTTAATCTTCGACAAGAACAGTATTATAGTGGAAAATACCGAAACGAGAAC